TTTCACTTTTTCTAAAATTCTTTGAAGAGTGGTAGAGAGTTAAAAGTCATATTTATTATAGCTTAAAAAGCATTCGACTAACGATGTTAGAGAATCATTTTCTGAGCTATAAATAAGAAGTTTAGGTAAGGATTTTGTATTCTCAAATTTGTCATCCATGTTTTACCTGCCTATTTTTTCCATGTCGATGTATCATTATTTACTTCATGTTTTTCTTTAAACGTTTGCTTTAAAAAAAAGATTAGTTCTGTCCTAAGTAAAAATATTCATGAATGAGATTTGATGTATTACATTTTACAACATATAATTTAAAACCATAAAATAATGTACTATATACAATTATTTTATGTAATGTGCTTTATGGGTCCGGATTAGATGATTTCTGAGGTTCCTTCCAAATTAACGTTCTGTCACTCTGTGTTAGTTTTTCTACTTCAGCAATTTAGTTGTTCAATAAAGAATGCAATTAACTATAATCTTATAACCATAAAGAAGTGCTGTGAGGGAACTCCCTGGCCGTCCAGTGCTTAGGTCTAAATGCTTTCACTACTGTGGCCTGGGTTCAGTCCCCAGGTGGGGAATTAGGATTCCGTAAATTGTGTAGCACAGCCAGAAAGAAAAGTGCCATGATATTCTGCTTCTTAAAAATCTAAAATAGACACATTAAAATTTATAAATTCACTACTTCTGTTAAGACAGGATGTAATAAAATATTTACAGGGTGTAGAAGTGAGTGATGAGGTATACGGTATGAAAGGAGTAAGTTATTTTAACAGTTTGGAGAACATAGAGAAGTAAGAATTAAGACATCCACTCTCTCCTTGCTAAATGGGAAAATTTGACTCTCTTGAGACTTTCTGAAAATCCAAAAGAGGTGAGAAAGGGTTGCAAAGCGAAGAGTAATCAGTCGTAGAATATAGCTTGAGCAATATATTTCAGAAACATAAGGTTATAGCAGAGAAGTGATAACCCTAAATAAAATGTGCAAGGTAGGCAAGAAAAAAGAATTCAATACTCTCACATTTCAGCCAACTAAAATCCAAAGCATCATGGTAAATGGTATTTAGGCAGAGGATCAAAAAAAAAAAAAACTAACACCCCTCCCCCAAACAAAACAAAAAACAACCCATCACCCACCAGAAATGATGCTTCTATGTTATTTTCATTTGATTCCAATTCCTAATCTGAGCTTACTCTGAAGAATAAGGGCAAAAATACCAATTATTTCATCTGTAATGTTTTTCAGTAGTAGACAATACCTAGATATTAAAAGCTAGAAAATGTTTTTATTAAAAATACTTTTCATTAAAATTTTCAATGTGTAATTCATTCAGTTCAGTATTTTCAGCAGCAAGAAAAAAGATTTTCCAGGTCATATCTGTTTGCCTATTTAAAACTCAAAATAAACAATCAACAGTTACAACAAAAATTCCTTTAAAAAAAAGAATTTAAAGTCATTCTTTTTAAAATATGTGAATAAAACTAGTAGATAATATTCCTATTTAGCAATGTGAGAAAATTGTTTCTTTTTACAATAAAGAAATTACTTTTCACAAATGTGATTTATTTTAGGTTCAGGGAGTTACTAGTTTAATATCAAGGTTATTAAAGAGGATGGACTTAGTAAGAAGTCATGGTGATGCTTTAATATGGAAAATCTTTGTATAGAAAAGTATTTTTCAAATCATTAGTATAGAGCAAACACCATTAAAATTTTGTTTTTTAAACTTGTAAATTGAGCATGCAATTTCATATAAACATGTAAATTACATATGACAACTTTAAGCTTTGTGTATTTATATTTTACACCATAAATATACACATTTCTTTCTCTTAGATTTGAATGTTATTAATTTATGGAAAGCTAAACCAATACAAGGTATATTTAAAATCCATAAACCCAATGCCATAAATAGAAATTCTAAAAGATATTCCGTATCTTCAGTCATCAGAACTGAAAGTTACAGAAGACTGTATCTTCAAAAGTTCATTTTTAATTTACAGGGATGAGACTATTAATTGTAGTGTAAAACTGACTAACCAAATTTGCTTCTCTGTTGGGATTTACGGTTAATCGTTAACTATTTATTTTCAGTTAAGTAAGTAGTATTGATTATTTTAAGTCAATCTGCTTCCCAGGAGGATTGTGGTTAGTTGATTTTTATTAGCTTTTTCAAATTTATGTCACTTATAGTGCTTTTAAGTCATCAGAATCCATTAAAAATTAATCACAGTAGTTTAGGGGATATATTAACCTGCTTGTAAAAGGTAGTAAGACTGGGAAAACAAGCTAAGATAAAGTGCCAGAAATTAATTCAATGCTTTGAAGATCAGATTTAAAAATTAGGAGCATCGTTAGCTTACTAGGGGAAAAAAAACCCCAGAAACCTGTATATACTACACCTACAAATAATTCAGCAATCACCTAACAAGCTGTGGATCCTGTAGAAAAAAGAAACTGGTTAGTATGTTATGGTACATATTCAGAGGAACCTACGAAAGGCAATTTAAAATGCTAAAACAGGCAGATTTACAAGCAGGAAAAGAGGCTTTTGAATACCACACTATTTTCAAATAACACTCATTTCAAGGTGAAGATGAAAGAAAAAAAAAAAGATCCATCACTACTGTTCACTGCTGGCAATAATTCTATTGTGTATTCCGTTATGTATTCTCGAGTCACAAGAGTACAGTGGAAATGTCTTTGAGAAGAAAAAATCCAGAAGCAGTTAGAAAATTTTCTTTTTTTGTTTTTCCAAAGAAGTTCATTAAACCAAAAATATAGACTTGCTACCACAGCAATTTAATGGTCACTTATAGGCTTATTTGAAAGCTGAGTCAAAGCAAGATTTTATTGGACAAAGTGGCAGTAAAATGTGGCCTCAAGCTGCAGATTCATCAAAAAAGCACCAAATTATATGGTTCTAAAACTTGGATTTAATGTCTCGAGTGGTTCCATTACAATCTCTAATTTGATTACTAACGCCTGATCAAAAATGCTATAAGATACACAATCAGAAAATAAAAACAAACCAAGTCATTACTTAAGTTTTCTGAAAATCAAATTCCTGAAGCTGAATGGATATTGAAAAAGTATAAAAACTGAATTACCAAGGCAATTCTTGGCTAGGATAAGTAGTCATGAAAAATATCCCAAGGACAAAGTTCAGATTTTTATAACATGGTGTAATGGAAACATCACTAGACTGGAAGCCAAACAACTTGGATTCCACTCCTGTCTGCTCTAACTGGTTTCATGACCTCGGCCTAATAATAACCTGTTTCTGTAAGAAACAAAACAAGAGGGTGTAGATCAGATAGTTTCTAAGGTTTTCTTCCAATTTAATTACAATTTTAAGTCTTCTAAGAAACATTTTTATCAGACAAGCTCTACCTGGAATGTTATAATCAGATGGAATGGTAATTTCTAGGAATACAGGTATGAATATATGACAAAAGGGTGGAAATAAAAATGGTTTTGAAAAACTTATTGCTGTCACAATTTACAAAACAGACTAAACTCCCATGGGTCTCAAGGTGGGAAAACCATGGGTCATAAACCAGTCTTGTCAACTATATTAATATTCCTGAGTGACAATAGTTTGGAGCAGCAGTTTATTATATTTGAGGCCAATGATGCACAAAACACCATCTTCTTGATACTATTGAAGAAGCTGTTACTGAATTGTGGTGGTTGTGTCTCCCCAGTTCATATGTTGAAGTAATGGAATACAACCTTATTTGGGGACAGTGTCTTTATTAGGTTAAAATGAGCTTGGCAAGGTAAGCCTTAATCCAATGACTGCTTGATTCCTTGTAAAAGGGAGACAGACTTGGACACAGGGAGATCACGTGAACATGAAGATGACCACATACAAGTCAAGGAGAGTAGCTGAGAACAGATTCTTCCTTTACAGCTCTCGAAAATAACCAACTATGCTAACATTTCAATTTTGAATTTCTAGCCTCTACAACTGTGAGACAATAAACTTCTACTTTCTAAGCCACTCAGTTTGTGATAATTTGTTATGGCAGCCACAGAAAATAGACGCTAAGACTGCTTTACCATTATCAAAAGTAATTTATACCTTCTCATAATAGCAACCCCAATCTCTCATACCTTCCTATTTCTATTTTAATACTTCAGTGGGTTTTCTCAGAAACAAATGATTTGGTATCAGAAGTTCAGGCATGACTTTGCAGTTGCATAAGTGAAAATGAAATATGAACAGATTAAAAATGACCTGTTTCATTTATAAATGAGTTATGAAATGTTCCTTTATTGTTTAACCCCTTATCAGTTCCTCCCCATCTACGATTATTTAGCACATGGATGGGCTAAAGTAAGGATTACAAAAAAAAAAGATTGCCAAGAAAATCAGATCTTTCCTTCCTACCGTAACATGGGGCTCCTAGTGTCACTCACAGACTCACACAGATGGAGAGTTCACTGACTGTCGTGGGGAGAGTAACTACCGGGGAATGCAGAAGCAGGGTCTGGATCTTGTTAATGGGAGTATCAGTGGACTTAACTGTGCATTATGTTGCACTTTAGCTCTGGAAGTTCAGTACTTTAATGACTTCATCCATGAAAGATTCATCGTGTTTTGAGTTTAAAGAAGAAAAAGTTTGTAACACCTATATTTATGGAAGGAAAACTACAGTTTCTTTAGTGTATGTTTCCTATCCACTCATAAATTCAGAGCACATGCAAGAAACACGATGACAGTCACCAAAAGTGGTTAAAACTACGAATGCACTGAAAATACCACATTTAGGATACAACTATATACTGAAAAGGCAGCAATGCCAAGAAAATTGGCAATTAAAAAGATCCTGTTAAAGACGATTCTCACAAGTTGTGTTTAAAATCATCCATTTTAACATTTCCAAAATAGTTGAATTTATTATTTCACATCAACATTATGGAAGTTAAAGAGAACAATCAAGTTGTTTCATGGACTGGAAGGTGACTTATTAATTCCCTTTCATTTCCAAACCTCATCAAGCAGTCACTACATTTATGAGGTAAATCAGCCGAATGCTTGAAATCTAGATGGATTTTAAGATCTTCAATCTGTCCTGTTGAATATTCACAGTACTGACATAAGTAAATCCCTTCAGATAAATGTGAATTTAAATGTTTGCAATATTCTAGCATACTTGAGAAGCCTTTCCCACAGTCATCACAAACATGAGGAAAAATTTTAGTATGTTCAATAGCAACATGTCTGTTAACATTTGTATGAAGTCTACTCCGAAACCCACATACTTGACAAACAAAGAAGTTTTTACATTTGTCAAATGTGATTTTGCTCAAGAGGCTATAATTATAATCACAGTATTTACATATGTAGGGATCTTCTTCATGAAGTTTGGCATGTTCGATCAAAAGCATGTTGGTAGAGAAACTCTCTTTGCATACTCGACACACATTTGAATCAGTACGCTTGTGCTTCAAGATCATATGCTGCTTTAAATCAGAAAAATATTTGCTGTTGAACTCACAAAGTTCACATTTATAGAGGCCACTGCTATTAGCTCTCAGTAAAGGCCATTTCTGCTGGACAGTCACATTCAAAGCTTGGCTCTTGTCAACAATTTTGCAAAGTTTGGCTGGTGGCTCTTCATCAGTTTGGTCTTGGAGACTCTCAGAAGAATTGTTTTCTGCCTCTATATCATAGTCTTCAGAAATTGCATGTACTTCTGCAGCAATTGGAACATCTTCAGCAGTGTGAACTTCTATGGGGCTCTCCTCTTGGGTTTGCTGGTGGACCGATTCAGGGGAGTCACAGTCTTCATCACAAATTTCAATATCAGCAGATTTTTCTGAAAAACAAAGCAAGACTATTATTATTATTACTAAATAAGACCTATTAAATAAGTAATTGGCAAAAAGAAACTTATTTTACTTATTATTTTTTTCACTGAACTATACAAAATGTGCAGATGCCATTACTTTGTCTTACCTGTAGGAAAGGCAGTGTGGTCTAGAATTCTAAGTACAGGACTGGGAACCAAGTAGTTTTGATTTCTATTTCTGGCTTTGATTCCATCAGTAAATTTTGGCAATTCATTTGTTGTCTCTGTATCAGAATCATCATCTGTAAAAAAGAATTTGGAAAAATACTTATTATTTATATCAATCAAAACATTAAATATTACATGGACAAACTGAAATGCCAGTCACTAGAGAAAACTGGGCTTCAATAGCCTGTCTTTTTTAAAAGGACTTTATTTTTCACAAGTTTCAGATTTACAGGAAAAAAAATAAGAAGGTAATACAGAGAATTCCCACATATCCTGCATTCGGTTTCTCTATTATTAACATCTTACACTGTTTGTTGTAACAATGACCAGATGCTGGTAAACTATCATTAACTAAAGTCCATACTTCATCCCGATTTCCTCAGTCTTTATCTAATATCCTTTTTCTGTTCCAAGGTCCCATCCAGGATATATAACATTTATTTGTCATATCTCTAGGCTACTGCTAGCTGTGGCAGTTTCTCAGACTTCCCTTGCTTTTGATGACCATGACAATTCTAAGGAGACCGGTCAGGTATTTTGCAGGATGCCCCACCAATTAACTTTGCTTTTTCATGATTAGACTGGGATTATGGATTATTGGAAGGTAGACACAGAGGCCAACTGCCTTGTTTTAAAAATCATATCATATAAAGGGTATAAACTACTAACATTATTTATGACTGCTGATGTTGAACTTGATAACCTGGGGCTTTATCAGGTTTCTCCACTGTAAAGTCACTCTTTTACTTTCCATACTCTACACTTTGGAATTAAGGCACTGAGCACAGTCCATACTTAAGGAGTGGAAAGTTATGCTTCACCTCTTTGAGGGAGGATTAGTTACGCAAATAATCTGGAGTTCTTCTGTACACATTTGTTTCTTCTCCCTTATTTACTTATTCTATCATTTATTTATATCAGTACAGACTCATGGATATTTATTTCATACTTTGGGTTATAGTCCAACTTCTCCCCCTCTCAAACTGTTTCAGCTTTGGATACTGGGAGCCCTTTTAGTTGGCTCCTTATGCTCCTTTGGCATACTTGTACTGAGTGACTCTGTATGTTGAGTACTTTCTTATTTTTTGGCACAACAAAATGCTCCAGGCACATCTTTTAGGTTTCCTGCTCCAGAACTAGAATCTGCCATTTCTCCAAGAAGCTCTCGTTCTTTTTATTGGAAAATGGTATTAGAAACCAAGATCAGGGCACTAGATGTTCTCATTGCTACTGGGATGTCACTTCTGTTAGACTCTCAGTTAACAGAGCAAAAAATACGTGCACGTGCACTACTACAAACATACTGACATCCCATAAGTGTTTCTGTAACTGTCTGTGTCTATACTAAGCCAAACATGAGTTCACACTGCTGTCTCTGACTGAATGTTCTTTAAATGACCACATCCGCCACCTTGCGTTCTTTCCTTCCATTAGCCCTCCAAACGGAGATGTATAGCTGAGCAGAAGAACTGTGTGTAACACTGTTCTTTCCGTGGTTTTTGTTTTTTTTTTCCACTCTACACAGCACTTAAGATCTTAGTTCTCTAACCAGGGATTAAACCTGTATCCCCTGCAGTGGAAGAACGGAGTCTTAACCACTGGACCATCAGGGAACTCCCTGAAATACCACTATTTTTAACTTTTCATCATAAATACTCAAAACTCTGGGTCACTCCTGCTTCGCCACCAATTCCTAGCTGACTAAAACTGATAGAGGAGGATGTTTTTTTGATTTATATGTCTGAAATAATGTTAAAAATTAAAACTCACTTACCCAAAAGTCTCTTGTTTTCTTAAACAAGTTTAGATACCTGCTCATTTTGAAATCATCACTTTCACCCACATTTTCAAACAGGAAATGAAAAATTATAAAAGCAATTTGAATAAAAATATTTTGGAAAATTTAAATATACCTTTGTTGTCAAAATATTTTAAGTCTGGTTGTCTCATAGAACAAACACTGTAACAATGATCAGAAAAAATTCCATTGAATCCATCTGCAATTCTGCTTATTCCAGAGGAATCTGAACATAAAACAAAATTTAAACATTTTCAAGCACACCGAACACACAAACATCTAATGACAGCCATCTGTTTATCCAACATAAATAAATTTTCATAGTATTGGGAATAAGGTGTTAATAGTTCCCTCAATTCTGAAGGCTTTCATAATTCAGATATTGACTTTGAGCTTTGAAAGAACCATAAACCATACAATTTAAAATATAATACTTTGAAACACACTAAGATACAATTCCCATGGTCAAGAGTCCCACAAAATATGAATATGCAATAAACGTGTTAATTGCAAAAAACACTGAATTAACTACCAAGCAGATCTGCCATGTACTGCAGAGAAAAGCATAATACACAGAGGAAGGTCTGAGGACCAGTTAGGGCTCCTGAAGACAGTCATTTCAACTCTTTCTTGGGAAGGGCCAGTTAGATAGACCAGGTTTAATTTCCTCAGATATGAAAAACAAGTAGGCTGGGTTGGTTAACAGGTGTACCTGAGACCACCCCAAGTATACATGTGCATAGCATTAGTTACAGATGGTCAAGACCTCTTATTTGCCAAGACAGTAGAGCCAATCTCAAAGAAAGGATCTAAAATTACACAATCACAATGAAACTTACAACATTTCTGGAAATAATGTACAGGATAAAGTTTTTTTCCAATGATGCAAAGTATCTCACATCAAGGTTATTATTAAGACTTAAGCACAAGCTTGGGAAACACCGGCAAATATCAATTGTGCTATGTAAATATGGAACTTGGATATCTAATTCTAAACGTCTATAAACTATGAAGTTGTGAGGATTAAAATAAATGTCTGTGAAATTCTGATGTATGTTTAGCACACAGCAGACATTGAGAAATATATTTTCAGAAAACTTAAAGTTTCCTCTTACCTAAAAAGTTGATTCAGATATATAACTCTTATCAGATCATTTATGAGAAAATGGATGGAAACACAATTGCATGGGAATTAAACATGGCCTAACTTTTAAATAATTTAATCGTACACTGACCTGAATAACGAGAAGGATGTAAAGTCTTCCTTTTTCTTTTTTTAGGATATTCATTCATATCTTTTTAATCTAAAAAATGGAAAAATTTAACAAATACATCACAAATAACAAGTGTTAATAGTTATGCAAATTTCTTCTAATAAAAAAATTGGCTAGCGATAGGAAATGTGTGCATCATATAAAAACTGACTTCATGAGAGAAATATTAAACAATCCTGCTTATATTTTGGATTTATTTTTCTGACTGAGTTTAAAGGCAGGACACTGAGTTCTGTTTTCTTTCTTCCTGAGGTTGAGAACTTTTCAAATGTTGATATAATTGTGAAAACTGAATAATTACATAAGCTTTATGCTTATTTTTTATAAAAGACAAATTGTACCTATGGCACCAAATTAAGAGTTTTAAAGGTACATTTCTTACTGTTGGGAATATTTTGACAGTTTTGAAGCCACAACCCCCTTAAAAAAGAATACTGTCATAAATCTGTATTAATCCTCTGGCTTCAGAAGGGAAAAAAAATCACCGTCATCATTCATAGGCTCAGAATATAATTTCAAGAAAAAATCCTTTTCTTACTCATGAGGTCACACTCAACATTCTATTGAGAACAAAAGAGATGTGGGAGCTATTGAATAAATATCCATAGACAGTTATATACAGTTAAGTTTGCCACATCCTACTTACTTGGTGTAATATGGAGAGAGAAAACTGAATTACAGGGAAGTTTTCACAGACGGTGAAATATGCCTGTAGGAGAAACAGGACAAAAGTCTTATGAGCAAAAATATAGTTCATTTCTGAGACTCAAGGTCTCAGATGTTAGTTAACTGGATGTTAGTTAACTGGAAAGCTATACAGAATTAACTCAAGTACAATATTGTATTAAGTACTAAAACTTGTATAAATTGGTAAATATGTGACTACATGTAAATATGTGTCCTATTTCTTTGAAGTGAATTTACCTTCTAAAACTATCTTAACACCAAAAAAGGAACATAAATAAAGACACAGGAATATAAATCTCATTAATTTATTTGTGTGTGCTCAGTTGAGTCCAACCTCTTGAAACCCCATGGAGCCCTGCCAGGCTCCTCTGTCCATGGGATTCTCCAGGCAAGAATACTGGAGTGGGTTGCAATATCCTACTCCAGGGCATCTTCCCCACCCAGGGACTGAACCTCCTTCTCCTGCCATTAATTTATTCAGTTACAATGAAAGCCAATATAATGAAAGCTGACAAATTAGTACAGGCTTTTTTTTTTCTCATTTTTGGCTGCACTGGGGTGGCTTGTGGGATCTTAATTTCCTGACCAAGGATAGAACATGTGCCCCCTGCTGTGGAAGCATGGATTTCTAATCACTGGACCACCAGGGAATTCCCAAATTACAGATTTTCAACTGTTTAAATCCTCCTTATAGGTTACTTTGTATATGTGCTGCCGAAGCGAGCACAAATCCTCCTTATAGATTACTTAATAGAAGAATAATAATCATTTATTGGGCACCAATTATGTACCAGGCTGTGAACATACTTTTTTATTTAAACCTATGATTAGAAAGGGCTTCCCTTGTAGCTCAGTCGGTCAAGAATCTGCCTGCAGTGCAGGAGACCCAGGTTCGATCCCTGGGTTGGGAAGATTCCCTGGAGAAGGAAATGGTAACCCACTCCACTATCCTTGCCTGGAAAATCCCATGGACAGAGGAGCCTGGCAGGCTACAGTCCATGGGATGGCAAAGAGTTACACAGGACTCAACGACTAAAACACCACCAACGACAAATTTTAAAACTTTCCACAGAGAAAAGCCCAAACACAAACACATACACTGATGAATTTATCAAATATTTAAAGAACGAACACAAATTCTTCACTCTTCCCAAAAAAATGGAAGAGGAGGGACCACATCCCAACTCTATGAGCCCAGTATTATCCTGATACCAGAACCAAAGATATCACAGCAAAATAAAACTAGAGACCAAAAACTCATATAGTCACAAAAATCTTCAATAAAATTCCAGCAAACCAAATCCTACAACAAATAAAAAGGATTATACACTAAGACCAAGTAGGATGAATTTTACAGTATGTGAATTGTTATCTCAATATAAAAAAATTAAGCAAAAAAAGATAAAGCAACTGAAACTTACTTTCTNCGGTGGACGGAGGAGAATGGTGGGAAATACACATTCCATGGGATCGCAAGAGTCGGACATGACTTATCTACTAAACAGTAACAAATTATCAGCACTATACATAATGTAATCATACAATAAAGTGCTGCTGAATTTACTGTGAATTTTATTAGATTTTCACAACAATCCTGTGACATAGATAGAAGGGCTACTATCAAATCTACTCCAATTTTACTGGAGGAGGAAACAAAATTCATTGAAAGTGAAGTCATCTAAGTAGAAGAGCCAGCTATGAAAAAATGTGTCTTCTGACTTCTGGGTTTACAATTGTGTGATTAAACCTTCATTTATAATCACTGTCACCAGCAAGTTATATCTTGCTGCCAGTACTTAGTCAGCCACCAACTGGGAGGAGGGCGCGGGAATCACCCAAAGAAACTGACAACCATGATATCTGCAGAAATGGTGTCAACATATATAATGCTTCATCTAACAACGCAAATAGCATTCCCTGAGCTCATCCCATCAAGTGCATTAAAAAAAAAAATAAACAGCTGTTTTCATATTTATGTAATAAACTAAAATCTTAAGACTTATTTCTAACACTTCTTTTGTACAGAATTTATACAGCTGAAAGCTTTATACTTCATGTTATAAATGTTTTACAAGTATCAGATGGAATACTGAAAACTGCCAGCCAAGCATTTCAAACACTTCAAACTCTTTCAAAAAAGCAAGGAAACCAAGCATGGCATTAGAATTAATGTTGCAAGCTGGCTTGGATTCAGACTGTCAGGTGAAGAGAAAGGATTACCTTGATCAGGAAATGTCTGACTCCTACTTAGGGCTGAACAATATCCAAAAGTTTACCCGACCTCCTTTAAGCAAGATGGTAAAATGCCCACTCAAGACCAAAAATGCTAACCACCCTTCATTTCAGCAAATGTTTTTACCTAAGGATGTCATACACACATTTGCTCTCTTGTCCTCCTCTTTTAATGGGAAGATTCTGAACAGGCAATTTTTCACTCAAGTCCTCTTCTTCACTTAAAAAAACTACAGATAAAATTAATATATGTCACTGTAGTCAAATAAGAAGAAAAAAGAAAATAATTAAATTGCTTAGAATCTGTTCATCCAGAAAAAACACTGTTAACATGGTCTTTTCTGGTAGCTCAGTGGTAAGGAATCTGCCTGAAGTGAAGGAGACAAAAGAGAAACCGGTTGGATCCCTGGGTAGGGAAGATCCCTTGGAGAAGGAAATGGCAACCCACTCTGGTATTCTTGCCTGGGAAATTCCATGGACAGAGGAACCTTGTGGGCTACAGTCCATGGGGTCGCAAAAGAGCTGTACAGGCTTAGCGACTGAACATTTTAAAGTACAGACATGTAGACATTTTCTCATGCTAAGGGATTCATACATACTCTAAATTTACAAAAAAGCTAACCATGCCATCCAAAACACTCGTTAAAAAAAAAAAAAGCAACTTAGAAGACACTTGTCATTATCTTTCCAATGTCACTTTTTCAACAATAAGAACGTCTAAGTACAAAACACAATACAGATTGGCAGACTCCTATTGGCAGTCAGCACTTGTATCAAAGGGTTCAACCTTTTTAAGACCTTTCACGCAATGCAAATATATATAAGACAAGCACTTACAATAAAAAGCTGGTTTTATACTAAAGAGTTTTAGAAGCATGTTCTTCCCCAGCCTCATTTTGAAACAAGTACATGTTTTCCAGATTTTGAAAGAAATGAAAACACAAAAATGCAGGAAACTTGAACTAGAACCCACCACACGTCCCATTTAGTGTCAGTCTTTGCTTTATCTCTCTGCTTAGAGATAAACTGCCTCAAATCTCTCTTGTCCCTAGGTTGTACTGAAAAACAAAATTAAAACGGGTTAGAAGTACCCTCATTAAGTGCCTTAGACTATACTAGTTGGGGACTTAAAGAGCCAGAAGGTTGCGAATCCCGGCGCGGGAAAAGGGTGCGCCGCCGGAGGGTCACCGTGATGGTGTAATATGGAGAGAGAAAACTGAATTACAGGGAAGTTTTCACAGACGGTGAAATATGCCTAAGGATGTCATACACACATTTGCTCTCTTGTCCTCCTCTTTTAATGGGAAGATTCTGAACAGGCAATTTTTCACTCAAGTCCTCTTCTTCACTTAAAAAAACACACGTCCCATTTAGTGTCAGTCTTTGCTTTATCTCTCTGCTTAGAGATAAACTGCCTCAAATCTCTCTTGTCCCTAGGTTGTACGCCGCGCTCCGCGCCTGCGCCGCACGCCTCAGGGGCCCGCCGAGAGGGCGGGGAGGTGACGAGGTGAGAGTGGGGGCAGGGAGCGAGCGGCGCGGCCTCGCCTCGCTCAGGGGCTAGGAGGGACCACCGGCCTCCAGCCCGGGGGGTGGCCCGGCGGCCCGCGCCCCCTGCAGGCACCTCCGCGCCTTCGCTGGTGCCTTCCGGGGGGGGGTACCGCGTGTCCCGGAAAGAGCGGGTGATTCCACCCTCTAGACTTGCTCCTAGCGAGGCTGCAGAGGGAACTCCCTCCACCACCAGCACCCGGCTCTCCCTCCCGCCCAGAGGAAGTGGGAGCAGCAACGCGCGCCAGACGCCCTTTTCCCACTAAATTCCCCCTTGGGGACATGCCAGAATGGTCTTGGTCCGGTTAGGCAAGGCATGTGGCATTTCAAACCTCAAAGAGTGGAATGCCGCCTGTTGGGGACGAAAAGGGCCGCAGTCCGCAGGGCAGGAGGGGAAATTTAAAAGATCGCGGGTCATTCTTAGTCTTTATCTGGATTCCCTGCCTCAAAAAATGTTGGTGGAATGAATGTGAAATTATGGCCGATTGGATTAAATGATTTCACTTTTTCTGACCTTGAGTTTCTAGGAGCAGATGTAGAGAGGATTAAATTAAGTAAGCATAGATAAACGGGAACGGGGTGTGATCACGCGTTTAATGTTTTTGACAGAGTTAAAGTTGTTACTCCAAATTTACAAATTAGTAAAGTGAGCTTGTGAGGGCGTAGAGACTAGGTTTTATTCATTAATGATTGTAAAGTGGATGATGCCGCCCTTCTGGATTATCACGTGCCCAAGGTCACTAGTAGAACTGCAATCCGTGTTTTTTTCTTTCATCGTGTGTGTGCTTTTCTTGGTTATCACATACTAACCAATCAACCACCGGATAGTAATAATCATAGACTTTACTCTGACCCCATCAGCTAACTCCCAGGAGATAAAATCATATTCGAAAGAGACGCTAGTGTGTGAGGCTCAATTTTTACAATCTCATAACGTTTATGTATGTGCTCAGCCCAAATGAATATTTACGAATGCTGGCATGGCCTGAATAAGGTACGAAGAGGTTTAGAGGCACCTTTTAATCCTAGTATAGTTAGTTATGGCACGGAATAGGGAATTGACACAGGTTTCTGGAATTTGTAAAGAACAGTGTGTTTCATTCCCCGCTCTCCGGGAGGGTTGTTTCTTGACCAGATACGGTGGAGGCCACGAGGGGGTGGTGTGGAACCACTTTTAAGGCTCCTCTTTGCCTGCAGTGATGAAAACCAGGCGGCGGGCCTGGGAAAGAGGAGGCGGTTTTGCCTGCCAAGACTTGCTTCCACTAGCGTCCTGCTCTGGCCTCGAGAGCCTTTCGCGCTGGCAGCAGCTGGACATCAGCTCACTGTTGGCTAAAACGACTCTACTGAGAACAAGCTCATAGAAAAGGTACACCTCAACTAAATTTGGACTTCATTTCTTTCACCTCTTCTCTGTCTGGGACAGTAGTGTAATGAATCTATCTTTGGTTTGGAGTATGTTTCTTCATTGACTTAAGATATATTAACCTGTTTTCTGTTGGCTTGTGAATAATAAGATAATTCCCACAGTGAGTTTCTGTAAAATAAATTACTGGCAAAGAATCTCAGGCTCTGAGCATAATTTGCCAAAAACCTGAGCACTTTATTTTTTTGTAAACTTGAATATTTTCTCATACGATTCTTGGCCATTTGTGTTTCTTTTGTGAAGGATCAGTTTATGTCTTTTGCCCATTTTTCTAAGTTTGTTTTTTTAAAAAAAATTAAGGTTTTAAACGTTTTATCTGAGATATATGTTACGTGTGTTTCTTCCTGGTTTGTTTTTACTGTTTAATTTCTTTAATGGCACAAACATTTAAAATTGTTGTGAAATCAAGTCGATTAATCTTTTCCTTTACAAGTTCTATTGTTGGCCTTACTATGAAATAACCTTTTCTCTTACACAAGATCTGATTGCATTTTTTACTTTAACTTTTTAATTGATCTGTAATTTATTTTGTGAGATGTGATGTAAGAAGAGGAAAACTTTTTCTCTGACATAATTCTTTTTTCTTATTTCTCTCCATTTTGTATAACAGCCTGAAATAAAATATCTGAGAATAACTTCATCTGATGTTCAAGTAACTTCCTAAGGTGTTCTAACTTTAACTGCATCAGCATCACTAGGAGGTGATTGTTAAAGTATAGAGCCCTGTGCTCTAGCTTGGGAGTGTCTAATTGAGTAAGTCTGAGATGGAGCCTGTTGTTCAGTTGCTCAGTTGTGTCTGACTCTTTGTGACCCCATGGACTGCAGCACACCAGGCTTTCCTGTCCTTCACCATCTCCCAGAGCTTGCTCAAACTCATGTCCATTGAGTCAGTGATGCCATCCAACCACCTCATCCTCTGTTGTCCCCGCCTCCTCCTGCCTTCAGTCTTTCCCAGCATCAGGGTCTTTCCTAATAAGCCGGCTCTTCGCGTCAGGTGGCCGAAGTATTGGAGCTTCAACTTCAGCATCAGTCCTTTTAATGAATATTCAGGACTGATTTCCTTTAGGATTGACTGGTTGGATCTCCTTGCAGTCCAAGGGACTCTCCAGAGTCTTCTCCAGCACCACATTGATGCTTCTCCAAAGCATCAATCAAGCGTTTCTAACAAGTTCTCAGGTGATGCTTCTGCTGGTGTAGGATCACACTCTGAGAACCACTAGCCTTTAAGGCTTTCCCCACCCAACCTCTCATTAGTTAAACAGTACAGTACTCTTCACTATTCCATAGATAGACACTGATGCTGAAGCTCCAGTACTTTGGCCACCTGATGCGAAGAACTGATTCATTTGAAAAGACCTCGATGCTGGGAAAGATTGAAGGCAGGAGAAGGGGACCATAGAGGATTAGATGGTTGGATGGCATTACCGATTAGATGGTTGGATGGCAAACTCATGATGGACATGAGTTTGAGCAAGCTCCAGGTTTTGGTGCTGGACAGGGGAGCCTGGTGTACTGCAGTCCATGGGGTCACAAAGAGTCGGACATGACTGAACGACTGAACTAGATAGGTCTAACTCTTTCTCTTTTGTGTGTTTCAGTATGTTTCTTCCACCTGCAATTCCTTTTCCTTGTTTCTATCTATAAGATCAAGCTTGCACTTTATCTCTTTCCTATGAAATCTTTGGTTTTTTCCTAGCAGAGATCTCGGATCACTCTTGTGAGATTTTATAGTATTTGGTGCATTTATCCTCTTACCGTCAAAGATGCATTTATTGTAGAAATGGTGAAGCTTTAAGCTTTAAGTCCCTGCCACTGCATGAACCTCTTCTAGGATAAGGGACTTAATTTTGCATTTATAATTTTGTTCTTTTTCTTAAATTGGTCCCCCCAGTTTTCATAAGCTTCTGTCCTGACAAAATTTGACTTTACCCCTGTTTATCATATCATCTCTTCACAGGCTTTGAATTCTGGTTTTGTTATTTTCCAGTCTGTTCCATCTCCCTGCTTAGCACAGCATCTTGCATAAAGCTTCAATAAAATTATTCACTGCTTATCTACCTTATGTCCAGCACTGTGCTAGGTTCTGGGGATACAGTATAAGCAAGATGGACATGGTCATTACCCAGCTAGTCTTTACATTAGAGGAGATAGGTAATTAAATAACACTGGAATGTGATGACTCTCCTGTGAAGAGGCTAAGCCATATCAAGGGAAATTGAGATTAATAGAGGATGAAAAAAGCATTTCCCCAGTAAGAAAGTATATTTGATATCCCTGGGAAGAAAACTCAATGATTGTTTAGGTCTATGGTGGGCATTACTATTGTCAACAATCTCCCAATTTCTGGTGCTCTCTACACTAAGGCATATATTTCACCCCTCATCCCACTGAAGTTGGGTAGAATCATATAACTTGCTTTGGTCATTGAAATGT